ACATACTTTACTCCATAAAAATCCACGGTGCAGGCTTTATGGCTTCTGCCTTTAAAGAATTAATCTGTTTGTCACTTTCACACCTGGAACAGTTTCTGAGTGTTTAGGATATGAACACCTGGAGCCTCCTGTTCTGCTGGAGTGTGATCCATATGTGCTTCGTTAGTACCCCATAATGTGCTTCCATGGAGCCTTACCTGGGAGATTTGGGGGCCTGAAGTTCCAGATTCTTTAATCTATTCTTGGTTTTTGCAGATGCTGTAAGTGCATTTTCAAATTAATCTCTTTAACCAGAAGCATCAGAAACTTGTTTTAGAATAGGGAAAATGTACAGACTACTGAGTAATTCACATCCCATGCCTGATATAAAACCCACAGGGAACCTTCCAGCTATGCAGAACGGCCAAAAACAAATAGCTTCAATGTAGATCTGTGAGCAGTTATCCTTGGGTGTCTGCCTTCAGTCGTTCATCTATTTCAGGGCTGGGCAATTGAAACCTTGGTCTACAACTTCCATTATCCTTCATCATTGGCTATGCTTATTATGGCTGATAGGAATTGCAGACCACAATATCAGAAATGCCACAAGTTGCCCACTCCTGATGTATTTGTACATCTTACTGACTCCAGTGGGATTAACTCCTACAAAACGAACCATCTAGAAAACATGTCATAAATACATTCTGGAAACAAGCTGGAAAAATGTTCTAAGATTAATGCCCTTTGAAAAAAATGGAATAGAATATCCTTGCTGCTAAGGCCACCCGTCCCTGCTTACCTGGATGTAAGCTGCATTGAAACAGGGGGACTTATTTCTCAGTAAACCTGCACGGAATGGGTCTTACCTGTGACTAACTTTTGCTGGATCTGGCCTTAAAGAGCTTGACATATGCAGTATTTCCAAGAGTGTTTGTTGCTTAGCTAGGGTGGCTCCTTTCAGTGACGGAGCACTTTGGGGAAATTTGAATCAACAGGAGGGCTACACACGCCTGAATTGACTTCACGAAGTTGGCAAGGTTTTTTCTTGCTTATTAAAAACTAAAACTGAGTAAAGGCCTTGCACTGGTAGTCCCATGAGTTACACAGCACATGGCCTCCTTAGCATTTCCATATCATTCAATAGCTAACATGCTCTGAGAAGGTCTTCAGAGCAATCCAGAGTAAAAACCAGAAGTTGCATAAACTCTAAAAAGACAAAAATTAAAAACTAAACAGAGGGACTGAAAAGCTTGGGGAAATAAGAAAATCCTCATCTGGCTTTGAGAAGACAGCAATATAGATACCAGATGTTTCTCTTTGGGGAAAGCATTCCACAGCGAGGGTGTCACTGATGAAAAGACTCTCTTTTTAGCAAATACTCTCCTCCTCTCATTTGTTCAGAGCATCCCAAGGATTGCTCTGAGGTTGATTTTAGGGTGTGGGCAGGCACTTGGGAGCTGAAACTCCTTCAGGCAACCTGATTGTTGGAATATTGCAGTGGTGTGTTGGTGTTCCTGCAGTGGAGTGGGGTGGGACAAGATTATAAGGCAAGGACTCAGTTAAGATTTTCAGACAAAGAAATGAAAGTTTTGGCAAATTCACTAGGCCTTGACAAATCTGCCTCTGTAGTTCTGTGCTTATGTGTGAGACCAAATGCCTTTGTGGGACATTGACCTGTAGCTTCTTGGTTCACATTTGGCTTCTCGGTTGCCATTTTTGGCTAATTTTCTGCTCTGTGTAAGCTTGTTTTGATTTGGTTCTCTGTCCATAAGTCAGATGCTGACTTTATAATTTTATCATTATACTTCATGTATAAATTGGGTGTATAGTTCTAGTCCGTATTCTTGTTTTTGCATATATGCAGTGCATATTCTATGGTTTGCTACTGGCTGGGATCATGTGGTTTAGTTATTGGCGCTGTGCCACTTTTAGTCTTTCTCTTGTGCTAGTGCCACCTTGAACTAGCCTGGATTTCGTGCAGTGGCCTCATGGCAGCTGTGAAGGCTGGCTTGGCCCACCTCCATTCCTGCGTTAGAATGCGGCACCTAGTCTCCAGGTCCAAACTCAACTCTTGCTGGTTTCAATATGAAAGGAAAATACCTCTCCCCATACGCTTAATATCACAATAAATGAAAATGGAAGTTTGCTTGCTGATTAAATGTGCTTGAGCACACTGCAGATTTGAAACGCTTTTTCTGTTATGACATGAGACTGAAGTGCTAGCTATGGTAAGGTTTCTGTACTAAATGACCATTCCCTATTGCTAGCCAGAGTGGAAGATGCTTCTGAAATATAAGTGCTTTATAAGGTGCTTTATAAATATACTTTGCAGGGTGTGGGTGCTTTAGAAATATTAGAAGAGGGATTTGTAGAAAGACCAACTATGTAGTAAGCTTTCAAAAGTGGATTTCTGAGCCATGAAAAAGGAATTTTATGGAAATTTCATTTGTATGATTCCTGGCTGAGGAACACATGGCTTGCCATCCGGCTATCTTAGAATCAAAAGATCTGCAGTTAACTTGCCGTGAGACATCCATGCTCCTTACATGTGTGCGCTCCTCATCTCTATGTGTGAGCCCTACATACAAGTGAAATACTATACGGGGAGTTTACACTGGCTGATCATATTTGTAAGCAGCAATTTTGTTAAGTAATATCTGACAAATGTTCAGCATCTGATGCTATTTTCACCCCTCCAAACAAATAATGGAAGTGAGGATTAGCAATTTGCTAAAGAAGGCTGTAGCAGAGAGCAGTACATCAGGAAGTAGCATATCCACCCTCGCACCCAAAGTATGTTTCTAAAGGAAGCCATAGAATCATAAAGTTGGAAGGGGCCTGTAATGCCATCAGTCCAACCCCCTGCTCGGTTTAGGATCCCCAGTTAAAGCATCCCTCACACGGCTGTCCAGCTGCCTCTGGGATGCCTCCACTGTGGGAGAGCCACAACCTCCCTAGGCCTTTGCTTCCACTGCCATACTGCTCCAACAGTCAGGGGGTCCCTCCTGTAACTGGAGGCTGTAATTCTGTGTCCTTCATTCTGGGATGATTGCAAACAGATCACGGCCCTCCTCGTTGCAGTTGTATCAATGCAGTCCGAACTACCATTTGTCCTTTCTGTAGCCACATCACATTGTTGACTCATATTCAATATACATTCTACAACAGTTCCAAGATCCTCCTCACTTGTAGCACTGTTAAGTCAAGTCCCCCCATCTTGTAACAATGCATTTGGCTCCCTTTTCCTAGGTGCAGGACTTGGCATGTGTCCCTCTTGAATTCCATTCTGTTCTTTTCAGCCCAACACTCCAAACATTCAAGATCAATGTGAATTTTGTTTTTGTCTTCCAGAGTATTAGCCATTCCACCCACCTTTGTGTCATCTTCAAATCTGATAAGCATTCCCTACACTCCCTCATCTCATAAAAATGTCTCATAAAGATGTTGAAGAACACTGATCCCAGGACTGAACCCTTCAGTACCCCACCTGTTATTTCTCCTCAGTTTGAGAAAGTGCCGTTGATGAGCGCACTTTGAGTCCAATTATCTAGCTGAGTGTATATCCCCCTGGTAATTATTCCATGTAGTCCACTTTTAGCTAGTTTGCCAAGCAGGATATCCTGGTGCACTTTGGTGTTGAATGCTTTTCCCTGCTAACGGGTACTGAGGTGGCAGTGTGCCGCCCTGACCTTGAGGCGAGGGAGGTCTGTGCACACAACCAGCATATGACAGAAAAAGTAGAGTGTCTTGTCCCTCCGGGGGTCACCAGCCGCTTCTGGTGATCCACGTGGGGACGAGTGACACAGCCAGGCAGGGGGCAGGCAGGATCACTAGGGAATATACAAGTAAAGGAAGAATTGCTAAAATTTATAGGATATTAATGGAGTTAGGGGATCAGACAAAAAGTTTAAAATCAATACGGAAAATGGACGTAGGTAAAATAAAAGACAAGGATTGGAAGAATATTTAGAATAGAAGAGTATATAAGAATATGTCAGTTTGAATTAAAGAGCATGGATATAAGTTGATATGGAGATGGTATTTAACACCAGTTAAGGTAAATCAAATTGATGACAAATATTCTAATATGTGTTGGAGATTGGAACTTATAAACATATGTGGAGGGATTGTGATAGGTCATTTGTTTTATTGCTTTAATTGTGTTTATGTATGATTGCAAGCCCCCTTGAGTGCCATTTTTCTTGGTAGAAAGACAAGGTATAAAATTAATAAATTTTGTATTACACTGTTCTAAGAGCCAATCTGGCTAATAAAACAGGTTATAAAAACATTAGATTAATTAATTAATTAAAGTATAAATAAGATTCCAAAAGTTAGCAGCAACATTGCTGTTGTAGGTAAATTAGTTAAAAAGCAGGAAATGGATGTTAGGAAAGAAGGTATCAATAGACATTCACACAACACTAAGGGTTATTCAATGTATGGTGAGGCTGTGGCCTTTGGGAGTGAAAAGGATGTATTTACTTGGTATAAATGGCTGGTAGGCTGTGTTTGGCTTGGTGCACTATAAATTATATATTTTCTAATATGACACTTTTAGGTAAATAAATGATTATTGTTCTCTTCATAACATATAAGTTGGTAATGTATAAGCTGGATCACAATATGGATTTTTTAAATCTACTTGGTTTCTTTATTTTACTGTGCATGAGAACCATGGAGCGAATAGCCTTATTGGCCTTTGCACCATGTTTATAAAAAGGTTCACTGACATGGTGACTTCCGCAGATCGGTTCCTGTTGCTCTGGCATCAGGTGGCTCCCTGGGTTCAGTGGAGCCGTGGAGAAAACTGACGATGTAGCAGAAGTGCTGGTGGAGAGTGCAAATTCGGTGAACAGCTTGGGGTAGTTAAAACCCCTTCCCGATTTACACATCTGACTTGAACCATCTATTTCTTCTGATAGAGGTGGTCTGCCTAGAGCCTCTTTGACTTTCCTCATGATAACACTAGAGTGACTTCTCTCCTCTTCTACTCCAGGACAATTTAATGCCTACATAAAGCCACCACGTGAGATTACCTGCGGATTTAGACACACCGTCATTCATTGGCTGAGGACGCCAGTGCTACTTTACTTTTACATGAGGTTCTGGTGCATCCCGTGTGGGTTCTGCGTAAGTGTCTGGAGGTACTAATAGATTGGGAAGGGAAGAATAGATGGAATCAATTCTGGATGCCTCACGGGGTTTTTCCAACAACCTGGGGATTCCTCCTGCTTGGCAGATCATGGCTGTGCACCTGTGATGACTGGGATTGCGTTCTAATTGAAGGGCAAAGCCGGTCATCTAGGGCTGCTCCTGGCTCAAGTACAACTTCTGGGGGGTGGACAGAGGGCTGCCATGGCAGGCAGGAAGCACTGCTCATTAACTGCACTGAACCCACTGGCTGCTTTAGGCACAAAGCTTTGATCTGGTGGTCATCATACAGCCTTTGGTGAGGGTGTTGTGGGTTCAGGTTTGCAGTCCGTCCTGACTTAGGGGCCTGCTGCACATCCCACTCATCAGGGAAAAAATCCTGGTCTTGTCTTAGGAGAGGTACCACTCCAAGAGAGTGACTGAAGTTCAACAAACTTTATTTTAAGACGATTAAAGCTTTTTTATTCAGACACCATCTGACCCATTTTCTGATGGCTCTGCTGTTATAATTAAGGATTGCTTTTACTGTATTTGTTATGTGGTGACCTTTGTGTGTGTGCTTTCATTCCTTTTTCAAGTTGCTTTTTGTTCCTATTTTGTGAAGAGAATAAATAAATAAAGGGGAATAAAGAAAGATATATTTTGAGAAATAGCCACCCCCTTGCTGAATGCAGGCTGCTGCTTCTCATGTTTCATGGCCTTTAAAGAAATAAATATTACAAGACTAACCCCTTTCAGCTGAATATGCATATGCAGTCATCTGAGAGGGACGGCTTACCTCCATGGCCTGCACTGAGCAGGGGGTTGGACCCGATGAGCTTCTGGCTCCGTCCAGCTCTACTATTCTATGATTCCGTATCATTTTATAGAATGTCTAGGTGTAGGTGAGGGATCTGACAAGAATTATATTCATTCCCCCACCTTGCCCAGTTCATGTGGGTGAGTTAGCTAACCAGCTGCAAAAGCAAGAGAGGACAAAGAAAGCGGCTTTATTCATTTCTTTGAGGAAACACTTGGTCCCTGCTAATTTTGTTTTATTACTGATACTTGTTATCTTTTCACTGAATCAAAGAGCAGAAATGTTTTTGGAAAGCCTCTGTGATATATCCTTTGAGTTATTTATTTGCCATTGTGGAGAACTTCACGAAGTGCACAAGTTCATTCCTTGGGGTCCCTCAGGGGGAGATGCAGCTACATGTTCGGTCTGTAATGTCAACAGCTTTGTTTTACATGTTGCATGTTTTATACAAGGAGATCTCTGCATCTCAAATTTCCAGGTCAAGACACAGGTATGGCATTCAAGTCAAGCCCTTCCCAGCATAGGTGGCCAGATGGGAAAGGCTTATATCAACAAAGGTTGCAATTGTGCTTGTGGCAGGATCCAGTAAAAGGCCACAGTTCTGTACAAACTTGCCCAGGAGTGAATTCTGCTAAAATCAATAGCACTTATTTCAAGTGAGTGAAGTTATTAGTAGCACAGTTCCATATACTTTTTCAGAAGTAATCCCTTCATGTTCAGCAGGATTTTCCCCAGCAACGGTGCTGCTTTGCAGGTTGTCCTTGTTTGACAGAGGCAGCGCATCTTGTGCTTGACAGGCTGCGAGGACGACGGAGGCCTTTTCTACCTCTTCTTAAGGCTTACTTTTAGTTACCCACAAGCATTAACTTTTTGGAGCATTTCAGCATTTACTTCACACAATTCCTAATGGATACAAATATAGGGGCTTTTGAAGAATAACTGAAAGACAGGGGTTAGGTGTCAATTCCCCCATGGTAGCTGCCTCTTCCAGTGAGGTATATGCCTTCTTTGCCCCTGAAAACCAAGCACAAGACATCTCTAATTGCCAATAAGTCTCAGGACACAACCAGGTCTGAGGTTCCAGCTGGCCAGGTGCCTGAGCCCTGCCCCTGTTCTGGAAGGGGCAGGGAGAAGTACTACTATTATTTTCTCTATGTGATATCTTGGGTTCCAGCAGTTGGCTGAATTTTCACTGGATCCAAAGGGGTGGGGAGAGATGCTTGCAGGAGCACCAGGGACTGGAGCCTTGAGATACTCTGTCCCCATGCTGGGTAGGAGCTCCCTCTTCATCTTTTCAGAGCAGCACTTTCTCCTCTGCTTCTCCCTCCCGGTGTCTTCTCCCCTTCTGTTTGCTGCTGCACCCAAGAGCTTTCTGTCTTCCAGCCTGTCCTCCATGCCTTCCTCTTCCTAGTTTCTCCTCATCTGACCCCAGAAGAAGAATCTTTAAAGTTTCTTTGGAGGGAGCCAAAGACCCATGAATTAATAACAAATTTATCAACAGATGCAAGAATAATTATAGCAAAGAACTGGAAAGCTAAACATGATTATCAACTGGGTGTTTGGTATAGAGAAGTATGGAGTATAGCTATTAAAAAGAAATTAACTTGTGATGTTAAAGTGAAAAAGGCTATATAAGTAGTAATAGTTTTGATGATATTTAGGGACCATTTATTATGTGCTAATAAAAGGGAAAGGGCTTGAACATCCACCAGAGACAGTTTTGGAAGAGGGTGGGGCTTTCTGAAAGAGCAAATGATTTGGCATGTATCTAATGGTCCCAGTGGTGGGATGCATAGCTTTGTTATATTATAGTATGATTGTAATTGTATGTTTTACTTTTTAGCTGTATTGTATTTTAGTTGCACTGTATGTTTTTTATTTGTAAAAAAATTAATTTTGTTTTTAAAGAACCATTGTAAGGGACCCAAAAGACAGCTGATCATCTACCTAGCAAGGCAGAGAATGGCCTGGGGAAAGGGTGTCTGTCTGTGCTTCCTTCGTGCCCTCAGGAAATATTTCAGCAGTAGCATAGTGAGATAACTTCTTGGGGCAGTGGAGAAATGGAGAACTCTGTGGCCAGGTGATAGCACTCGCTTTTCTTTCGCCAACCAAGAAGGTGCAGTGGCAGTCATGCCTTACAGGCACTTCTGATCGAGTCAGACAGGTTGCCATTCTATCCAGATATAGGATTCCTGTCTTAGGGGAGCAAATGCCCAGAGCACTGCTAGAGAATCATGGCCAATGGCAACCCCCAGTATCTATCCAATGCTCAGGCTGTCTGGCATTCCAGTATTTAATTATCTCTGAGCAATGAACACAGGCTGCAACAAGGTTGGAGAATCCCAAGCCCTGCCACTTCCCATTCTCTGCATTTCTTTTGCTACTGAAAGGAGAGGGACTGGGGCTTCAAGTAAGATTGGTTCATCCCAGAAGATCCCAATACCTTTGCTGCATAAAAGTTTGTGGGGCAGGGACAGGGTGTTTGGTTTTTCTGAACTGTCCCCTTAAAGAGGCCAGTTTCCTTCACCACAAACACTTTGGCTTACAAAGCTGCAGCCATCCTTTGTAACACGTGAGGGTTCCTTAACACTCAGAAACCTTCATAGGGCCACTCTAGTCATACACAGTGATTGTATACGTGTGCCTCATGCTCACAACACACAGGTGATCATTTGATATCAGCGGAGAGGTGTTCGGACTGAGTCCAGTCTCCTCCTTTCTCCACTTCTAACAGATGGCTTTTCCCCATGTCTCCCACTACATGAATTCTGAGCACCATTTTCCTCAATGCATGTTTAAGACAGAAAGGAGCACTGCACGATTCTCAGAAATAAGAACAGTGAAGGAGAGCTGCCTTTCAATTATCATATTGGCTCAGGAAGTACAAATTTGTTCAGTCACAGCTAAATGCAAAATGGGTGAAATTTCCCCAGTCCCTAATTATAATAAATCTCCTTATATTTGTAAGAAGCATTATGTGCCAGCACAATTCACTTCACCTTTACAAGTCAGGAAATTGAAACTTGGAGATATCACGCGAAAAATCCTGTTTCTTGAAATGTGACACAATTTGGGACTTTAACAAGCAGGATCTAGCCAATAATCTAGCTTATTTGTAATAATGTGCAGAATGGTTCAAACTGGCTGGCATTTTTGAGAAGTTTAGAGTCATTATGAAAATGGGTCCTGCTGCAAAGTAATTGTTTCGATTTGCTGGTGGGATCACTAACATCAGAAATGTTTATAGTTGGACATTAGGCTGCACGGTTTTAAAAGGAAATTCCTTGCTAAAATTTCTTCCCCATATGAAGGACTACACACTTACAAAACTTCTATTTGTGTTATCAGGATTTTTCAGAAAGGTTATTGTGTTCTGCGTGTCTGTGCTTTGTGGAAGAAAAACTAAAGCAGTGGTGGTTTTATTTTTTCTCTTATACCTTAGCAGAAGGGCTTAGAATTCTCCAGCTGTTTTTATTAATGATTTAGTTGAGGAAGTACAAGGAAAGATAATCAGATTTGCAGATGACAGAAAGCTGGGTGGAACAGCTAATACTCTGGAAGACAGAGACAAAATACAGGGTGATCTCAATAGGTTAAAACGCTGGGCAGATACAACAAAATGGAATTCAATAAGGAAAAATACCAAGTCCTCCACTTAGGAACAAGAACCCAAATGCTACAGTATGGGGAACACTTGGCTCAACAATACTGCAAATGAGAAGGAACTTGAGGTTGTTGTAGATTACAAGCTAAATATGAGCCAACAATGTGATGCAGCTGCAAAAAGGGCAAATGCTATTTTGGGATGCATTAAACAGAAGCATCACTTCCAAAACACATGAAGTACTAGTTCTCCTTTACTCAACACTAGTCAGACACCCCCCCCCCCCCTTACAGTACTGTGTCCAGTTCTGGGCATCTAAGTTTAAAAGAGATGCAGAAAAACTAGAATGGATACAGAGGAAGGCAAGAAGGATGATTTGGGGACTGGAGGCAAAGCCCTATCAGGAAAGATTGAGAAAACTGGGCATACTCAGCCTTGAGAAGAGAAGACTTGAAAGGCTGTTAGAAAGAGGAAGGCAAGGATCTCTTCTCGATCATCCCAGAGTGCAGGACACAGAATAATGGGCTCAAGTTACTAGAAGCCAGCCTCCAGCTAAACATCAAGAACTTCCTGGCT